ATGATGATGATGCGCTATTGGATATGTTAGAGAGGCAGGAAAAATCACTAAAACAGGCAGAGGAGAAAGACGACATGATTCTTCAAACTCTACTCAAATCTCAAGAGGAAGCCCAGCAAAGACACCAAGATTTCACTCTGGCTSTCTTGGGTAAGCTAGGGGAAATTTTTAAAGACAAATGACTAAGAAACGCAAACWGATATTTCATATTTATGAAGCCAAAGTTACAACACCAAAAATAATTTGTTCAAGTTCATAATAATCCAGAATTTTTTATTGAATATATATATAGATAGACAWTTTTTTAGAATAAAATATATATATKATATATGATAGAAATTTATCAGATGTGATTTTACAAACAAAGCATGAAAAGAAAGCAAACATAAACATTGTTTACTCATGTATAAACAACAACTGTACTCTTGATAACAAATGATCAATCYTTAGTTAATCATAACGAGAGGTGTATTTTTTTACTAGTTTGATACGTAATCAATAATTGCCAATAAAGTATCTTTTGCAGAACTTGTGGGAATAGAATTGCATTGTWGGTCATCATCATTGTTATCATCATCATCTTCCATTTCAACTTCATAATCATCCCCATTCAAAATGCATATGTTGTGTAAAACACAACATGCTATTATGGTATCTGGTACCCTCTCTTGGTTCTCATCCAGTCTCTTGAGTAAAACTCTCCAGCGCCCCTTCAATAGTCCAAAGGCATGTTCAGCGACGATTCTTGATTTTGAAAGCTCCTTATTAAWTTTTTTCTTGTCGCGCGTTAGTGATCCATTATCTTTTATGACTGGAAGAAGCCAATTTTTGAGAGGGTAGGCTGAGTCGGCGACAACAATAGGTCGCAAAGTTGCACCTTGTATATTTAGTTTAGGTTCTGTCAAGATTTCTTCATCGTCCGCCAATCTATTGAATTCACTTAAMCTAAGCATTCGCGCATCRTGAAGGCTTCCCGGGAAGCCTGTAGCAACAGACAAAAATAATCCTGAAGAGTCTACTACACCTTGAACTAGGTAACTGTAGAAGTGCTTACGATTGAAATAGTCTTCATGGTTGATTTTAGGTGCTTTGATAGGTATGTGACTACCATCGATGKCTGCAACTACATTCGGTATTTTGCTTCTTTCAGAAAATCCCTCTATCTTTTTTGATAATTCGGCAATTGTACTTGGAAATTTTATAAATTGATTCTGCAAGTCACAGAGCTCCTGTACAAACTCATGACACGAATTAACAACCAGAGGCTTGGAAAGTC